TTGGAATAAACTGACAGGAGAACCAAATATATTTATTTCCCTGATTCTTTCCTTTAGGGCTGCAAATTTAGCAGGCTCCATTCCTCTTTCAATGGCCACAACTTGTAGCAAAGGATCTATTTCTCAGACCTGAGTTTTTGCCAGGTTTCAATAACAACATTCCTTTTGCCTTCCCTCTATGGGTGGTAATGGGGTTCCTTTGCTTCCAGTTCCTGGGGGTGTCACAGATCTGGGTTTGCTCCTTTTTTTTTTTTTTAATTTTTTTAACATTTATTTTTGAGACAGAGAGAGACAGAGCATGAACAGGGGAGGGTCAGAGAGAGGGAGACACAGAATCTGAAACACGCTCCAGGCTCAGAGCCATCAGCACACAGCCCGATGCGGGGCTTGAACTCACAGACCAGGAGATCATGACCTGAGCTGAAGTCCGCCGCTTAACCGACTGAGCCACCCAGGCACCCCTGGGTTTGCTCCTTTAATCTAAACCATAAATCTATGTATTGGATAGTTCTTTATTTTCAATGCTCTTGTAAAGTTATTAATTATTAATATATGCATATATGCTATTTCTTCTTGAGGTATTTTTTAATTTATATTTTTCACAAATTAAGTCATTTTGTATCTACTTAAGATTTTTTTAAGTTTATTTATTTATTTTGAGAGATTGAGAAAATGTGTACACGTGAGTGGGGAAGGGGCAAAGAGAGATGGAGAAAGAGAATCTCAAGCAGGCTCAGCACTGTCAGCATGGAGCCAGATGGCTCAGGGCTTGAATTTACAAACCCAGGACCTGAGCAGAAATCAAAAGTCCAATCAGACACCCAACTGACTGAGCCACCCAGGTGCCCCTCTAAGTTAAGATTTTTTTTTTTTAATTTTTTTTTTCAACGTTTATTTATTTTTGCGACAGAGAGAGGCAGAGCATGAACGGGGGAGGGGCAGAGAGAGGGAGACACAGAATCAGAAACAGGCTCCAGGCTCTGAGCCATCAGCCCAGAGCCCGACGCGGGGCTCGAACTCACGGACCGCGAGATCGTGACCTGGCTGAAGTTGGACGCTTAACCGACTGCGCCACCCAGGCGCCCCAAAGTTAAGATTTTTAATGTGAAATTTTTATAATTGTTTTATATTAAAACATCTTGGTCTTAAGGTTATCTACTTTTTTTCTAAATTAATTTTCCCCTCTTCTTTATTAATTAGTTAATTCAAATTTCAATGTAGCCATTTCATTTATATATATTTTCTGATAAAATATTTTGGTTTTGTTGATGAATTATATTCTGAGATTTTCCTTTATGTTAATATATGTTCATATATTGATTTATACGTTTCTTCAATATTAAGGCTTATTTTGTTTTTTTTTCTAACTTCTTAAGTTGATGTCTTTGATAAATTATTTCAATTTTTTCATATTATTCAATAATCAGTTGGAAGCTGTAAATTTCCACACAAGCTTTGTAATATGATTCGCTTTGTTTCTAAACATTTCAAAGTATGTTTTGATTTCATTTTGTATTAAATACATATTTGGCTTTTGCCTGTTTCTTGCATTAAATACCTGAATTGGAAGGTTTTTTGTTTTGTTGTTTGGTCATCCACTTAAAGTTATCTCCCTCTATGATTGTGCATTTTTCATATTTGTCCTTATTTCACTAATTTGGAGCTCATGAAAGCTATATTACTTAGTGAATTAATACTCTTATGTGACACAGATCCTGATAGGTGTTCTACTTTAGTATCTATTGATATTTTTGTTTTGAATTATTTTTATTAGATAACTTTCCTTCATATGTTATTGTATTTTTATTTGCATCCTTTCTATTCAGTTTTATTCAGTCACTGCTTTCTTAAACAGTATACACCTGAAGTGTATACAATTACAAAACTTTATTTCAGGGGCATCTGGGTGGCTCAGTTAAACGTCCAACTCTTGATTTCAGCTTGCATCATGATCCCAGGGTCGTGGAATCACATAGAAACAGATCATTTTTTATATTTATACAATTAGCTATATGGGTATTATAATGCCATGCAAGTTAGCTTAATTGGGAACCATTCCAGCATTTGAATTTTGACTAATTCTATGTGATCCCTGAAGAGGTAATTTATTTCTGGCAAAAAACAGAGCAACATCTAAAATCACTTACAAGACAGCCTACAATTTTTGGTTCTATAATTTGATAACTTCCAGCTACCATCTAGAATAGTTTGAATATTTCCAAAGACTTCTGATTAGAAAATATCATGGTGAAATAGTGAATCTTTATGGTCAAAAATCCTGTTGTCATTCTAACATTTGATTTTGTTGTATTAGTGCTGAAATGTAAGCATGGAATAAAATAAGAAGTCTTAGAAAAAAAAGTATTTAAAACTTTAGGCATATAGTCATTAAGAGTAGGTTTGTACATTGCGCATATTATCTATGTGCTATTTACCATGCTTTTTTATGATTTGACTTTTTAATTTTTACTTACATATGTTTGTTCAACTTTTAATTTACTATTATGTACTGCATATGAATTTTCTTCTTTTTTGAAATTGTTTTTATTGTACTTCAAATTTTTTGATGTATTGATTTTTTATGTTAACAGTAAAATGGCCTAAATAAACCTTAGTGGTTATTCCAAAATAATACTACTAAATAAAAAATTATTTGGAGGCACCTGGATGGCTCAGGTTAAGCATCTGACTTCAGTTCAGGTGATGATATCACCGTTTGTGAATTCGAGTCCCACCTTGGGCTCTGTGCTGACAGCTCAGAGCCTGGAGCCTGCTTCAGATTCTGTGTCTCCCTCTCTCTCTGCCCCTCCTCTGCTCTCACTGTCTCTCTCTCTCAAAAATAAATAAACATTAAAATTTTTTTTAATTATTTAAAAAATCTCCAACGAAGAAAATTGAGAAATTAGTTTGTAACAGTAAAATTTTAAATAACAACTCAATTTGACATACTAACATAAACTTATGGTGTGTGCTATCCTCTTTAAATGACCCATGATGTTATTCAGTCATCATTCATTCACTATGACCTTTGAGTATTTTTCCTAATAGTTAATGATGAATTTGTATTGACCTAAACACAAGGTCATATCCAAGCTCTCTTACTATGCATAGCTCTCATTTTAGGATTAACTGAAGTTATATAATCTATGGCCATGGCTTTATTTGTCATGGCATTGAAGCACAGGTAGCTATTATACTTTTGTTCAAATTTATTTTCTGCATGACTCATTCTAGTCAATGAAAGGATTGTAGAATGTCTTAACAGGAACAGAAAAATTTTTGAAAATCAATACTTTAGATGGCTAGAAATGCCAACATAAAAGCAGAAGTTATAGAGGAAATACTTCAGTATTAGAGAAACAAGTTCCCTAATTCAAAACCATATAGAAGTAGAAATTTCTATTACAAACACAGAAATGTATCAAGAGCAGAAGATATCTATAGAAACTAATAACAGAAGAAGAAATGGCAATTATAGATAAATTGAAAGAAGTAAGACTTTTTTCTCAGCTTTCCCTCTCTTCAGAATTTGCCAATCTGGAGAACTGCTGGTCTAAGTGAATGGTACAGATAAAAATAAGAACATGCTGTGCTAGATAGAGGGGATAATGACTTATATAATTTTCTAGGGGACTTCAGTCAAGGTATAAGAGTATGCAGCTTTGGTAGGAATTTCATTTATTTGTCATTTCTCCCAAACCATGACCTTCCACACCTCCAGAAAGGTTTAGAACACTGTGCAGAAGGCCCTTTGTGGACGGGAACCTACAGGGAATAACAGCTTTGCTTCTTTAAAAAAAAAAAAAAAAAAAAAAAAAAAAAAAAGATTTGGCTTGATTTTAGACGGGAAAAAGATCCTTAGTAGATTTTAATAAAAGTGTCCATAAAAAGCCTTTCCTCCTAGCTAATGATAACCACGATTTTTCTAATTTAGAAAGGAATCTCAGTGAATAAAATAAATCAACTTTATACCTTTGCCATTCTGTGAGTTTCTTTTGGCCTCAATCATAGACTGAAGTCAATTATAAAATGTTTAGTTACATAGTACGGTGGACTATTTCATGATTAAAAGACTGGTTTGAGGGTACCTATGTGGTTCAGATGGTTAAGCATCCAGCTCTTAGTTTTGGCTCAGGTCATGGTCTCGTGGTTTGTGAGTTTGAGCCCCATGTGACACTCTGCACTGACCTTGCAGAGCCTGCTTGGGATTCTCATTCTCTCTCTTTCTCTCTCTCTCTCTCTCTCTCTCTCTCTCTCTCTGCCCCTCCCTTGCTCACGGTCTCTCTGTCTCTCTCAAAATATATAAATAAACTTAAAAAACTGATTTGGACCTTTCTCTTATTCATGTATTAATTTATGTAATGTCTAAACTAGTATATTTTTTTATGTACCCAAGAAGCTTTTACTCTAACATCACCTTCCTAATCTCATCAAAACTTCTACATTTTATGAATCTTACTGACTTCCTGTCAGTTAGCTTGGAAATAAAGAGTTTTGACAGTCACTATCTAAATTGTTAGGCAATGAAAAAGTCAACATTATCTATGCGATATTATCTATGGGACTATCAGAAAATTATTTTAAATGAACCCATCCTTACATTCAATTAATTCCTGTTGAACAAACTAATGGATTAAAAATGTAGCCTTGCTGTTTGCAAAATATTTTATGTAGGATGTAATAAGAAAGAATTTCTATGAAGAGGTGTCAGGAGAAAGAACATTTCAGTCAATGCGGCAGAAAATGAAAATATCTGTATAGTGCAGCCTTAATATGATGATAAAGTGAGCTATTTTATGTTGCTTAATAATACGGTTTTTTAATACATTCGTGCTTCTTCACAATAGAGGGCCACCTATGCCCGCAATTCCCCCGCCCAGCCGGAGCCCGGGGAAAGGAAAAGAACAGAAGCACAGAGGTCCAGGGAGCCTCTACCCAAGAAGGCAAGACAAGTAAGGGTGTGCAGGTGGGGATGTGAGCCGCCCAAGCCTTGCTCTTACCGTGACGATTCCGCAGCCGTCCTTAGCCCAGATGGTCTCCAGGAAATGCCCAGACTGCAGGTAGTCGTCCCCAGGGATGAAGGGCTGCAGGGGAAGCAGCCCGAGCTTGCAGCTGTTCCTGGAGAGCTGCCTCATGTTGAGCTCGGGAACTGAGGCCCGCCGCGCACCTTGTGAAGCAGCGCAGCGCCGAACTGGAATTCCCGTGGCGTGGGCCTCGGCACCCAGTTCGCATGCCAGCGGCGCAGCCCTTTAGCAGCCACGGTGCTCAGAGAGCTCACGGATGGTCACGGCGGGAGGCGACCCCTGCTTGCACAAGGGCCAGGCCCAAAGGCAACCTGCGTGGGTACACTCGGGGAAGGAGAAAGAGCTGGTTCCAGCCTCACAGGGACCTTTTACATCCACTTTGGTGGGAGAGTGTCGTTTGGGAAGGGGCCGACGGTGGGTGGGTGTCGAGGCCCAATAAAACAGTACTCTGCCCAGAAAGTTATGGTGGACTCCGTGTAAACAACCCCGAAGACCTGGCTGACCAGCGAACACTGGTCTTCTACTAGAGCGACACAGGTGTCTGCAGCGAGGCTGGCCAGGCCCCACAGTGCTTTGGGACAGGGAGCCTGAGCTGAGGCCCCTGGGACGTGGCGCTCACAGACTCTGGCTGTGGGGAAACAGCCCTGTGCCATCTTCAGGAACACCGGATGCAAGGCTTCATTCCGGAAATGGGAGAAGGCGGCAGTGTTATGCGCAGGGACCGTGAGATGGTGTCCTTCTGATCCCTTCAGGCCAGCTTCGCGCGGTAGGCAGACAGGTTGCTAGCAGCACGGTGCTCCTGCGCAAGCGTCGGGGAACCGGTGCGCTTGCGCGGCCTGCGAAGTGCAAGATCTCATTCCCCCTGGAGGCGTTCAAGTACCCTGGTGTGTTAACCGAGGCTTAAGGACTTCACCTCCTCCGTGTAGTCGCTCAGCACCGAGGCCAGCCCACATGCTCAGGCAAGGACAGCACCACAGGGTGTGGACCCGTTCCTTTCTGTCACCTTCTCCCAGGCTTTCTTATCTTTATGCTTTTCACTTATTTAAGTGGCCACACAATTCCAGGCCTCTTGCCCTTCTTGCCCTTGGCTTGCTCCGTGCAGCCCCGCGTGAAGATTAAGTGAGATTAAGTGTAAATTTGATTCATCAGATTTTAAATGCAATGATCATGTCTTAATTTAGTGTTTTATCCGTGTTCTGGAGAGGAGGACTTTTGGCTTTAATTATAAAAACTATTTTTACAGGTCTTATATAAAAAGACAGTTGACAGCAATTTGCATGTTTGGTAGTTTATAAAATTAAAAACTCCACATTTTAAGAATTCTGTATCGTTTTGTCTTTAATCTTATTTTAGGTATGCAGATTTAATTTATTTTTGGGTATAATAAAACTAACACACTTAGGAACACAAAAAGATTTTGGGTAACAATTTAAAAAGTTATTCTTAGATATCAATGTTTATCATGGTAGAAAATTCAAATTTCTTTTTGTTTTAATGTTAAGAAATATGTATAGAATAGTTAAGAGACTTTCTTATATAAAACAGTTGGTAAATTAATATTTGTCATTAGAACTGAACTACCAAATGTCTTAAATTCACTTACAGAAATGGTATTATTTTATACATTTTTATTGTGTTTAACAGGATAAAATGTATAGTTTCTTCTTCCACTGAACTCCCCCAACAACCAAGTTTAGAAAATTGAGAAAGGATGAGGTACTATTTATTAATTAAATTAAATACATACATATTTAACTTATTAAACATGTATGTATTTAATTATGCATTTCATTATATATTTACTTGTTTAATTTATTTAATGTATTATTTAAATACATATTTTATTAACAAATAATTTTCTCTAATGAAAAAATTTAAATACAACATATATCTGATGGTTCTCCTCTGTTATGTAATTTAGACTCAAAATTTTAATAAACAGTATAAGTTAAAGATGTATTCATCTCTAAATAATAAAATATTACCCAATATTGACAATGCTTAAATAAATTTACATTTTTAATAAATAAGAAGTACATATGTATGCAACACAAGATGGCATTTAATAATGTCCAAGACAAGCACATCATTATACATATTTGTGAATCATTTCAAATCCTGCTCATTCCAAAACATTTTTGTGACTTTATTGACATTGTTTGCCAAGAATTTACAATATCATTTACTATTCATGAGTATTTCTTTTTTTTTAATGTTTTTATTTTTGAGAGAGAAAGAGAGAGCATGAGGCGAAGAAGGGCATAGAGGGAGGGAGACAGAGGATCCAAAGCCGGGTCCAGGCTCTGAGCTGTCAGAGCTGGAACTCAGGAACCATCAGATCATGACCTGGGCCAAAGTCGTACACTTAACCCACTGAGCCATCCAGGTGCCCTGCGTGCTAAAGGTTTAATGAGCACTCCCACTGAACCATCACAATTATGATACAGATACTATTATCTCTGTCGTTTCATGCATAAGGAAACTAAGACTTAGAGGTTAACTAATTTCCCAAGGTAAAAACAGCAAAGACTCCAGGGGAAGTAGTACTCAAACCAGGTCCACTGACTCCAAAGATAATGCTTCTTTTTTTTTTTTTTTTTTTAATGTTTATTTATTTTTGAGAGAGAGACAGAGACAGGGAGACAGAGAGTGAGCAGGGGAAGGGACAGAGAGATAGAGACACATACACACAGAATCTGAAGCAGGGTCCAGGCTCTGAGCTGTCTGCACAGAACCCAATGTGGGGCTCAAACTCAAGAACCATGAGATCGTGACCTGAGCCAAAGTCAGATGCTCAACCGATTGAGCCACCCAAGCACCTCATATTTATGAGTATTTCTTTAGTTTTATTCATTATACTCTGATTCTATAATATCAATGGAATTTTTTCATGATATATATACTTATATGTATGCAATATTTCATTTAATGAACAAAACTGATTATCATTTAAATATTGAAGAACTTCTTCAACCACTTAAATAATTTTACATAAGTATATAATTTCAAAATATTTTTTTCAAGGCTACATTTTTACTTTAGTAATCTCACTATAATTGTAATAGTAAGTGTATACCTTGTACACATTTATATGATAAAACTTCTTTTAAGAGAGAAATCTTTCTACTTTATGAGTATGTTAATAAAAAGTAAAAATGTATCTGAACAGATATGTATAAATAATTCATAGTGCCATCATGTCTATGAATAAAATATGAATTCAGAATATTTTGAATCATAATATTTTACTTTCAAAATTAGACTATGGTATATTATTCAGCAAAGCTTCACTAATGTAATGATATAGACATTTTTCAGAGTATTTTTACATGTACTCTTGGAAATCAGAGATAAACAGTCGGGAAATTCTCATGGCATTACATTACTCCCCAGATAGGATATTATCTCACAAACACTGCCATTTCACCTAAATACTTCACCTTATTTGATTACTAACCACTTATAACTGAGAACGATTAATTTCTTTATTTTCTTTCGATTTTACCTATGAAAAGAAAATAAATACAAGAATTTAAAGAAAATATATGATTTGGGAAACACATTCCAAAGAAACCTGTTCTATGAATCAGACTACCAAATGTCAAACGTTACCTAAACATAATGCAAATGGCTATATGTAATGTGGCTTTTTAAATTCTGAATTCCTCAGAACTTATAAGAGGTATCTATACGGAGGAAGGACCATAAGTGATGAAAGACAAAATTTGGTAAACATCCACAGAATTCAAATTCCTAAGTTCAGCTATTATTGCTTTAATTTATCCCTAATACAAGGCTTGGGCCGGTTGAGCGTCCGACTTGAGCTCAGGTCATGATCTCATGTTTCGTGGGTTCGAGCCCCATGTCGGCTCTGTGCTGACAGCTCATAGCCTGGAACCTGCTTCAGATTCTGTGTCTCCCTCTCTCTCTGCCCCTACCCCAGTCATGCTCTATCTATCTCTCTAAAAATAGATAAAACATGGGGCGCCTGGGTGGCGCAGTCGGTTGAGCGCCCGACTTCAGCCAGGTCACGATCTCGCGGTCCGTGAGTTCGAGCCCCGCGTCGGGCTCTGGGCTGATGGCTCGGAGCCTGGAGCCTGTTTCCGATTCTGTGTTTCCCTCCCTCTCTGCCCCTCCCCCGTTCATGCTCTGTCTCTCTCTGTCCCAAAAATAAATAAATGTTGAAAAAAAAATTTAAAAAAAATAGATAAAACATTAAAAAATTTTTTTTAATAAAAATAAAATAAAATGTCAGTGAGGAAAAAATTGTTTGGAATCTGCTTCAATGATTTTAATACTAGAAACCTTCCATAAAGAGGGCATTGTGTTTGGTTTGATGCTATGGTGGCAATATCTTGCAAAGACAAAGGATTAGAAGTAAAGCCTTAAAGTACAAATAACTCTCTTCAAGGGAAGAGCATTAACCTTTAGCCCACAGCACTTGTTAAAACAGACATAATATTTAGTGGAAGATTATTATGTATTGAGAGAAAATATGATACACTAAGTTCATAAAAGATGCCACATATTCAGAGTATTTTGGACAATTTCAAGTTTGAAGTATTCTTTGTAACTTCAGTTGATATCCTCCTTGAGTCAGTTTCTATAAGGATTCATAAACCTAAAAGATTAATTTTAATTGTGATGGCATTTTCTCACCATGAGCTGGTCCATTAAAATCATATTGAGTGAGATTACAGGTAAAGTTCTCAGCTGTTGGTTAATTCTCAAGCCAAGGTAAAATTGTGTAATGCCAAATACCCTGCTATGTATGATTTAAAGCGACTATATAAAACACTAGTCAGTGAAATGTGAAACTGTTAAGTGCTTTTCTTGGGGACTGGGCTTGATATCTAGCACAGTAATATATTTTTAATTTAGAAGGATATTTAGAATAAAATTCTAGGAAAATATTTTTACTTTTTTGTAGTAGTAAATTTATTCAACACTAAAGCATTTAATATTACAGTTTACTTTAATTTTTACTTTTCCTAGTAAGAAGGCAAGGTTAAAAAAGTTATATCTTTATCTCCTAAATACTAATTCCCTAGATAGACTGTCATTTGTCAGTGATAAAATAGTTCACATTGATAGAAATTGATATAAATGTATTATGTTGGAGATCAAT